ACTGTGGGGAGAATTGGTACATCCCCAGAAGAGGAACCAGCCCTGAGGGGATGGCAGAGGGGAAAGGACCAAAGGGAGCAAGGGGTAAGGAGCCTCCCCAGCCAATCAGCAGCCAGTATAGGTGTGGGCATGGTGCCAGGGAAGCCACGCCCCCTTGGGAATTTTCCAAGCAGGGAGGGGAGTGGGGGAGATGCATTCCTGTGTAGTCTTCAGCGAATTCCAAGTCAAGTCGAGGCAGAGACAAGCTGGGTGACAGGCGGGGTGTGCAGAAAGGAGAGGCAGATCTTCTGGGTCCCTGAGGTCAGGGGGAACCCCGCTTCTTCAGCTCCTGGACAAAGGCTGGGCGGGAACATGGTCCGGCGGTCAGAGCCTCGCCTCGCCTCCCCTCCTTTCCAAAGTGGACACTTTATCCAAGGGGGCACCATCCTTCCCCTGGATCCCCCAAACCACCAGAAAACCACTGACCTTCAATGATTTCCTCCTTCACTTTCTGAAGTTCTTTTCTCACCTCTTCTAGTAGCTCCTGAAAACGAGGGCATGAAGGCGGTCAGGGGGAAGAAAGGGTTGAGGAACTGCAGAAAGGAATGCCCTCCACCTATTGACTTTAGAGCCCGGGAAAGAAGGTTCAGGATCCAGCCCTCTCCATCAAAGGCAAGGTCACGGATGACTGGAGGCTTTTACGGGAGAGCTCTGGGTCCCTGGAGCCAGGAGAAAAGTACTGGAGAGCATCCAGTACCAGGGCGGACAAATGCGTTCCGGGCTCCTGCCAACTCCAGTCAGTGCTGGATGTCTGTCTAGGGTGGTGTGAAGCAAAGGATCCTGGGTACTCATCAGGGACGAGGGGGGCGATGGACTAGTGAGGTCTGCCACAGGCACGGGCAAAAGGGGTAGAGGTATCTGTGCCACCCCTGACCTGGCACACTAGCTCCAGTTCTCAGGTCGGCAATTAGAGGTCAGGGACCGAGTTGAGACTCGGATCATTTCCTGTGGTCCCCTCTGGTCCCCGTCTTCACTCCCACGGCCACCTTGAGGGTTACCTGTTTCACCCTCTCCAGGTCTGACTCCTCGTGGGAGCTGGGCGTGGGCGGGTGGGCCTCGGAGGTGGTCACTGAAGTAGATGACTTCATCCTGAGAGTTGGAGTGGTTTGGGACAAAAGCGCCGAGTTAGAGAGAACAAGAAATTTGAGGAGTTTGGCTTTTGGGGGGTGGGTGGAGATGGGGGGTGGGATCCTGGTATTCAATGCCCACCTTGGCAAAGTTGTGCTGTTCTTCTCCCAGGGTCTTCGCACCGGTTCTGGGGGAAAGGCAACACCACCAAAGATAAGGGACAAGGAGTAATACCTTGTCCCTGAATAGTCTCTGGCCTCCTCCAGCAGCCTCCAGGCAAAGAACCATCAGAAGACTACAATCCCCAGCAGGATTTGCACAAAAACCCTTCCTTCGAGAGCGTTAGCTGTGCACACAAAGCATCCTGGGAATGGTAGTTCCCATAGCCAGAAGGGGGTCTCACTCACCAGTCTGGGCTGGGACTCTGGCCTCTGGCTCCTCCTGCTGGTGGGAAATAAAACTGTCAGGAGCCAGTCCCAGCTCCTTGCCCCTCTGAGGCTCAAACCTAGCCCACCCCTATCAACATCTACCAAATTGAGTGCCCTTCCCACCCCCACCGCCGTGGGACAGCCATAACTCACATTGGCAGATTCGTCCTTGTGGGGTTTCTCCCCAACCAGTGTAGCTTTCCTTCTGCAGGAGGGCAAGGAAAGAAACAGGTGGCTTCAGCTCCCCTCCCCAGCCCCCCACGTCTCCTTCCAGAGTTCTAGAAATGTCGATTCCCTTGTCTCAGCGTTCTGTTATTCGTGAAAGCCAAGACAGCCTCCTTTTAGAAGTTAGAGCCGTCCCACGGGCTTCACCTGTTTGGGAATCCCCATAAGGGGCAGGGGGTGGGGGGCTGTTATTTCAGCAAGCTGGGGTTCTAGAAATGGAATCTGAGACAGGACCACAAAAGCAAATTGCTAGGAGACTGGGGTTTAGAACATTCTAGAGCTTACTCTGACAGTCACCAACTTGAGCCACTTGAGGAGATGAACGCACCTAGCATTCCACCCCAAACCTGGCAATCCAAGGGTGAGTTTTCCCCAAAGGTTGCCTGGCTCAAGGGCCCTTGGAATGGCCCAGCCTTACAAACCCTGCTGAGTGGTGCCCCTCAGCACCCCTAGATCCCCAAGATCTGACATCCCAAACAACTGCTCTCAGGTGCCCAATGGCTGAGGCCAACTCATGGAAGACCCTACCTCGGCTGCGGCTCAGCATTAAAGCACTGGGCTGCTAACCACCAGGCAGGCCAGCGGTTGGAACCCACCAAGCTGCTCTCAGAGAGAGAAAGATTTATAGTCTCGGACACCGTAAGGGGCAGTTCTAATCTGTCCGATAGGGGATAGGGTCGCTATGAGTGGAAACTGACATATCAACAGTGTGTTGCGGTATCTCTTTTCAGACCCAGATGGCTGGTCGTTTCTCCCAGCCTTTGGAACCCAGGTGACGTAGTGGTTACACGTTGGGCTGCTAACTCCATGGTGAGTGGTTCAAAACCTCCAGCCGGTCCAAGGGAAAGATGGGGCTTTCTACTCCCAGACAGAGTTACAGTCTCAGAAATTCACCAGGGACAGTTCTACCCTCTAGAAAGGGTTGCAATGGGTCCCCACCTCCTCGATGGCAGTGAGTCTGGGATTTTGTGGTTAGCAGCTGGGGGCCTAACCTTTGACTCACCAGGATTCTTAGCTGACAACTCTACTGAAAACAGGACTCTCGTCCCACCTGGCTCTAGCTCCCTGCTATCAAAGTTGACTCCAACTCAACAGCTACCCTATAGCGCAGGGTAGAACTGCCCTGTGGGTTTACAAGACGGCCACTCAGGTTTTTTGGGTATAGGATTCTCATCATCATACAAGTCAACAGCTCAGTCTCATCAAGAAGAGTCATAGAATCATTACCTCGGTCAAGTTTCAGAAGAGACTGTAACTCTCTACCAGGTCAGGCAGCCTCCGCCTTCTCCCAAGGATTCAAACTGCTGACCTTGTGGTTAGCAGCCCAACATGGAACCCACGGCCCCACCCTGGGGTGACATTTCTGGGAAGTGTTTTGGTAACATCTGTAACACCTGTGGGATGGATCGAGGTCTGGGAGCGGGTTCGGGGCGGGGCATCACGCTCACCTTCGGGCCAGCATGGCGTTCATCTCCTCCATGAGGCCACCCCCTGTGCTCCTCCCGCTTTCGGCTTTGGGGGCTGCGGGGCCCCCTGAGGCTTCCTCCTGCTGGAGAAATGGAGCAGGGGAGTAGGCTTTCTGGCGTGGCCTCCCGGTTACCCCGTTGCTCCCCATTATTCCATCATGGCCCCGCCCCTCACCTTGCTGACTTTCCTGAGTTTGGCTCCCGCAAGAGCAGCAGCCAGTCCAGGGGCTCCGGCCCCTCCCCCACTGGGGCCCTGTGCCGTGGGGAGGGGGGGCGCTGGGGGTGGGCCGCCCCCAGCTCCATGCCCTGCAGCTGAGACCCCAGAGGGGGGCAGACCCGGGGGTGGAGGGGGGCCCGGAGGAGGTGGGGGTCCTGGAGGTGGGGGTGGACCCGCAGCTGGAGGTGCAGGCGGACCTCCTGAAACACAGAGAGGAACCAGGGGTTCAAGTGGCCCCGCCCACTCTCCCAAGGCAGGCCCCACCCACTCGTCCGGTCCAGGTCTGCTAACAGTCAGTCCCACTGTCACCTGCATTGGACACTCGGCGTTCCCGCTCCACGTGCTCCGGCTGGCCCGGCAGCTGCCTGGGGGGGAGGAGGGGGGAGCAGACAGAGCAGTGGTGACTCAGGGCGCAGAGGATGGTCAGTGACCTCTCCTGCTATGCTCCAAGTTTCCCAGCCAGCCCTGGAAGAGGCGAGTCTGTCCCCTGACCCTACCCACAGGGCCCAGGAAGGGCTGGGGAAAGCAGGGGGCCGGGGCAGGAGCCAGCATTCCAGGCATCCTACCTTCTAGAGCACAAGGGGTTTGGGACCCATCAGGGATTTCTGGGCTGCCAGACACTGGGAGCTCCTGGGACCCCAAGTGGGGTAGGCCTCTCAGAGATGTGCCTTTCTAGTCTTTGGGGAGTTGGAACATTCTGGGAAGGGTGACTTGGCAGCATGGAACCTTTGGAGTAGGGGGTTCTGGAACATTCTAGAACTCTGGACTTAGGAAGGTCCCCCCCTTCCAGGTGAGTCCCCACCTTTTCTGTTGCTCCACTTCCTCCGGGGAGGGGCCGTTCTGGCCCGACCAGGTGGGAGGGGCTGCGGGTGGAGGAGGCCCACCTCCTGGAGGTAAAAGGCGAGAGTGAGGGAGACGGCTGTAGGGCACCCCCCCTCCTGGACACCGACCCTGTTACTTGGGGTCCCAGCACCAGTTCCCCCTGATAAGCTGCTGTGGAGGAGGTGGGAGAGCTGCTAAGATACCCAAGTGACAGGTTGGGGATCTTAAGGCCCAGAGGGCAGTCACTAGCCCAGAGGGCCACACCCAGGGAGTCACAGGGACAAGACAAAGTCATGCCACCTCAGGCTCTAACACACTTAGCTCCTCTGAGCCAGGCCGGCCCAGTAGAATTCCCGAGAGGCCCTGGACCAGCAATCTCCTTCCCCGATGCTCAGACACCACTGCTCCCTGAAGCAAATGAACGCCTTCGATGACTCCCGACCCCACGCCAAACGGCCTGCCACTGCCTTGATTTCCACTCACACTGACTTCCATGTGACAGAGTAGCACTGCCCCCTGGGGTTTCCCAGGCTGGGGGCTTCCATCGGTATCAAAGCAGACTGCCACACCCCTTTCTCCCTCAGAGAGGTTGGGGGGTTCGAACGACCGACCTTTCTTTCAGTCGGCAGCCAAGCTCCTAACTGCTGTGCCCAGGGTTCTTTGCATGCAAGGTGGCACCACCGGACGCCGTGGCACTAAGAATATTGTCCCTGGCTAGTAGCCCTTGAGTCTGAGGGGAGCCCATTGGAAAAGTAGAGTCCGGGGTGCTCCACCCCACTCTCCACAAAGAGCCTCTCCATTTTCACATCGCTCAGGGGGCTGGGTTCACCTGCAGCTTTTAAAAAACACTAACCAAGGATTCCCACCCATCCCGCCCCCCAACAAATCTCAGTGGAACTATTTAACAAGGATTGGACACCATAATGACCTGAGGGGGGTGGGGTTGTACAAGGCGACTTGGCGGAGGGGTGTGGAGAATGTTGGAGACCTCGACCTGAAAGGTGGCCACAGGAGTGTGCCTGTGGCAAAATCCATCCAGTTCCCTTGTGGGGCTAGTTAGACAGCCTTAAGTCGGTTCCGACTCCTGTCGGACCCCTTGTGCCGCAGCAAGGAACGGGCCGGTTGGGCCTGCGCCAGCCTCACAGCTGTTGTGAAGGCTGAGCCTGTGGTGGTCACAGCCACCATGTGTGTCAGTCCATCTCACGGAGGGTGCCTTCCTCTGGGTCACTGCCCCTCCACTTTACCAAGCAGGATGGGCCCCCTGCCCCAAGGCCTAGACCCTCCTGACAACATCCGGCCCTCCTCCATTCTAAGGAGCTACACCCTTAAGAATTTGGGGGAACGGCACACCCAGGAGTTCACCAAACTCGTATTGTAACGTTCCCTGGTAGCAATGAACCCAGGCGTAAGCCCCATTTTACAGACGGGCAAACTGAGGCCAAAGGTCCCCCTGGGCATTGCAAATAGCTTGTCAGTGCTCAAACGCTAATGGAAAGGTGGGTGGAGAAGCAGGCCTGTCCGCCTGTCACCCTGCAGACTGCAGAGTCACCAAAAAGGAGGCCTGGCTCTGCTGGGAGTTGGGGGTCGGCAGCTGCAGGAGGTTTGGTTGGGTAAACCGAGGCCCAGTCTAGCGAAGCACTGCCCCCTGCCCCCCACCCCTGGCCGCTTCTGACCTTCTAAAGCCTCCAGGGCGCTGGCCATGCCCGAGGCGAACTGGGCCGCGTCCTCCTTGCTGCCAAAGTTGAGGCCCCAGACCTGGCGGGCGTCGCGCCACTGATGGAAGATGGGGGTGGCCTGGTTGTACTTGACACCGCGGACGATGGCACAGTTGATGACCACCTGGCAGGAGGGCAGGTGGGTGAGCGGGGCCAAGGAGGAGGGGGTGCGGGGCTCCGCCGGGGAGGGAGGGGGAGAAGCCTCACCTGCTGGTCCGGCAGCATCTTGCGGCCTACGACGCGGAAGGAGTTGGCTGTGGGGTTGTGTAAGATCTGGATGCGGCTGAAGGCTTGGGGGCCCGTGCCCGCGGGCAGCCAGCGCTTGTTGCCATCGTCATAGAGCATGACGGTGGCCCGGCTGGAGCAGATGGCTGTCTCGCTGCGGGAAGGAGGGAGAGGCAGACGGGGAGGAGCCAGTTAGCCAAGGGGACTCCCCGGCTGCCACCTCCACCTGTGGAGACCGGGGGTCCCAAGAAAGAGCCTGTGAGGACAAGGGTCCCCGAGGGGCGGAGACAGCGTGTGTGAGGACGAGGGGCAAGAGGGCGGGCAATAGATACCCAGAGAGACACACAGAGAGACTGGGAGACAGCAGGGCAGGCGCTGAGAAACGAGGCAGGTGGGGAGCAGGAAAGTGGCAGACAGGCAGCATGAGACAGACCAACAGACATGCTGAGGGGCAGACAGACAAGATGAATGGAAACATGACAGTCAAGGCCAACACAAGTTGACAGACCAGCGATAAGGCTGAGGTGACAGACGGAGAAATGCAGGGACACGGGCAGACGGCATCAAGAGCTGTAGATATACCCAAGGAAGTATGGGGGCTGGAGCAGGGGTGGGGGGTAGAAGCCGGGGGCCTGAGCGGGACTTCACGCCACCAGGGTGCTTAGCTCAGGGAGCCCTGGTGGCCCTGCAAGTCAGGTACTGGGCTGCCAACCCGAAAGGTGAGCTGTTCAAACCCACCAGCCAGTCGCTCCCTGGGGAAATGATGAGGCTGCCTACTCCCGCAAGAATTCACAGTCTCAGGGAAGCCCTCTACAGTGAGTCAGGGTGGTGGGGTGCGCAGGCATTTGACGCCAGGGAGAGGAGGGAGGAAGCAGGTGTGGGGCTGCATTGAGGCCGGACTCCCGGTTCGTCCACTTTCTTCTCCTCCAGGCGTTGTCAGGTGTCCACCCTGTCCCTCCGGCTCCCTGAGACCAGGACGGCCAGTCAGCAGACACCAGCCAGGCCCCTGCAGGGGGCAGGCTGGAGATATGCCCAGGGGTGAGCGAAAGTCTCAGTCCTTCCCTCCAGGGCCTTTCAGGCCAGTACAGGAGGCAACTAGGGTTGGGGGGTGGAGGGTACCCTGGAGGGAGGAAAGAGGCGACATCGGCCTAAGCCTTAAAAACCAAACCCACCGCCAGCCATCTAGCCATTCCGACCCATAGCGAGCCTGTAGGGCAGCGTGGAATGACTCCTTTATGTTCTAAGGCTATAACTTCTTTGACAAAGTTTTATTTGGCATATGGGTCCAAGGGGAAAGAGAGATGGGGAATGGGCTGACGCACCACGGAGGCTGCCTGAGTGAATCCATGAGGCTACAACCTTTTCTGGAAGCACAGGGCGCCATCATTCCCCTGTGGGGTGGCTGGTGGATTCGAACCCCCGACCTTGAGGTTGGCAACTCAACGTTTAACCCACTGCACCACCAGGGTTCCTTGAAGCTGCCTCAGGAGTCACTGGTTCAGAGGCCGGTGTCCACCAGCCCCAGGACCACCTCCTGGGGCTCAGACAAGAGACCTTTCCTCTGCTGCAGACAGGGGGTCTTGACAGCCTCTGGAGGCACACACAGCACACACTATCAGGCCCCCGTCAGAATCCCTCCTCTCCTTCGGTGTGGGCACCCCACACAGCTGTCCCCTTCAGGAACCCCCTTTAGTCCTCCTGGGGGGCGGGGTGGGGGAGACGACGACGACAGGGGTTCCATACCCCTGTCCTTCAATGAGGAAATGAAGGCTCACAGACGGGAAGTGACTTGCCCAAGGTCACCCATGGAGCAGAGGAAGTGCTCCTCGCTCACCCCACCCCCACTGGGCTTGTTCCTGAAAAGAGGAAGTTGGTGGCCAGGGGCTTCCGGGGAGAGAAATTAGAACACCCCACACCCCCCAAAGTGGCTGTCTCTGTCTTCCCCTTGGGCAGGGTGGGGAAAGCCCCTTATCGGAGTCAGCGCCTGTCCCACGGCCACTGAGGCCTGCACCCCCATCTTCATGCTAGCTGCGCCCCATCGGGAAAGAGTGCCACTCTTTTTCTCTCCCCCACCAGTAGGCACTCTGGCACCCTGGCCACAAACAGCGGAGGCCTGCAAACTGAAGCCCAGGCCGGTCCCAAGGCTTCCCCAAGAACACACAGGGAGAGTGTAGAAACAGGGAGGGTGTGAACTCTGGCCACCAAGCTCCCAGGCCCGCAATCTTTGCTCCCCCGGGCTCTGCAAGGGCCCTGCCCAACAGCAGGTTCCCGTCTCCCAAGAAGTGCAGCCCCCCGGGGCCTGTTCCTGGCTCCTGGTGCCCCAGGCAAGACAGGGTTAAGGCCTCACCCATACCTGCCACCCACTCCCTGGACAGACTCTGGCCAGGTTCCCGGAGCTGCGGGCCGGCTGGGGATGCCCCACCCTGGATGCACTTTGCTCATCCAGGTGGCCCTGCCCTGCGGACACACGGACCTGGCCCCAAGAGCCGGGTGCCGGCTGGGCGGCCCTGAGCTGGTCCTGCCCCCTCCAGGGTTTCCCTTCTGAGAAGGATCCTGTTTAAACCCAAGTCAAATCCTGGACCTCCCCTTCAGGTTCCCAACTCCCGCTGAGTCCAAGCTGAATGCTGACTGGCTTTCCATAATTGGCCCCCATTCATTCTTGAATTTCCTCTCCCTCCTCGCTAGTTCTGTGCCGGCCCCACCAGATTCCATGCAGCTCCCTACACAGGGAAAACGCCCTCTAGCCAGAGGACACCTCTTCTACTGCCGAGTCGATTCTGACTCACAGTGACCCTGTAGGACAGGGCAGAACTGCCCCAGCGGGTTTCCGGGGCTGTAACTCTTTACAGGAGCAGAAAGCCTGTAAAGCGTTCTCCCAAAGAGCAGCCTATGGTTTCGAACTGCTGACCTCGAGGTTAGCAGCCCAGAGAGGAACTCACTAAGCCACCACTGATCTCTCCCCGCTGCACATCAAAGGCAAACTTACGCCGACTCATAGCGACCCTCTAGGACAGAGGTGGAATCAGGCCCCTGGGTTTGCCGAGACAGGACTTAGACACAGCAAGGACTGAGTTGTCCTTGGTGCAAACAGTCCCGCGCTTCCCGTAGTTGCGTGGTTGGTGGGATGGACCCGCCTGGCAGTGCTTGGAGGAAAGGCCCACAATCTTGTGAACGGTCCCAGCCTCGAACACCCATCGGAGCACCTTTCCAGTATGTTCCCTGGGGGGTGGCCATGACTCCCATCCAACGTCACACACAGTGACCAACAACAGACCCGGCTCTGAAACAAGGTGATTCCTCACGGGGAGCAGATGTGATCGGTTCAAGCCCCGGTCCCAGCCCCATCTTGCAGGCACTCAGCTCGCCAGGGGCAAGGAACCCGCTTTTGAGAAGAGAGGAAACATGGGAACAGAGAGGTGAAGACACTGGCTCCAGGTCACACAGCAAGTCAGTCCCCAGAGGGCCTCGGGTGAGGAGGAGGCAGGGGTGGGTTCGTAACCCCGTTTAAAGACGAGAAAACCACCAAGGGGGTTATTTTGGGTTTTGTTTTTTTTTGGTCACACTTAAAAAGACAAGGTACAAAGTGGTGTGTATCAGAGGTCTTAAAAAAAAGGTGGAAAGGATAAAAATATACCAGCACACAGAGGGGTGAGAAAGCCACAGGGGTGTTATGCTGGGGAGAGGGTGGGCCGCCTCTGAAGGGGGAAGGACACTTCGTGGTCAACCCCTTCTGAATTACTATTTTGATCATTATTTTTCTCTCCCTCCTCAACAGCCCCTCACACTCACACCTGCCTTAGGGCTAGTGTTCTATCAAACCAAGTCACTAATTAAAAACAAAATCGCAGGAACCAGTCATATACCAGCACAGAGACAACCCCCTCCCTTACAGTTGTTTATCAGGGAGGCTGAAGGTGGGTCCTACTAAGGCCAGTGGTCTCCTGGGGTCTGGCACCTCTCGACCCACCCTGGGAGAGCCTTTGCTTCCCCCCACCCCCACCTCCACCGACTGGGACCCATGCCTCCCAATGCCCCTACATTCAGGAAAACTCTTAACACCTTGGCGGACAAAAGACGGTTCACTCTGGAATCACTTCCTGCCTGTGTGGCTTCAACTGTCTGGCTCTCCATTTCTCACTGGGGAACCCGTGATGGGTTTGCTGTTAAGGAAGGAGTGCAGGAGCCTCTAGTCACGAGGACTGGCAGTCAAAATAGAAGGGAGGGAGCCACCCAGCCCTGGAGGTAAGCAAGCAGGGGGATTCAGGTTCACCTAAATCTTCCAGATTGGTGGCTTACCCTTTGCTTCCATAGCGACTTGGTACTATCAGAGGTGTGACCATCTCTCCAAATTACAAATCCTACTGGAAGTGAAGGAGCCCTGGGCAGGAACCCGACCCCAGCTGCCAGCCCTGCAGGGCGTGCTTGTGTACTCTTCCTGGGGCCTCAGTTTCTCACACATGACCAGGAAGGTTGAGTTGTTTGCCCCCTTTTCTGTCTATCTGCATTACCTTAAATGTGTCCCTCCCACCCCCTACACACACACACACCATCTCCTTTTCTTGAATGCCACCGTTGCCTGGAGAGGGCCTGGCTTCCAATTCAGCCGTGGCCACCTCCACGCCGTTTTGACTCTGATAGGAAATTGGCTGGGCTACTCTGAGCCTCAGTTTTCCCATATCTGAACTGGGAGGACTGGACTAGTACCTACCTCTGGCCAGGGTTGTAAGGATTAAATGGAATTGGGGGTTTCGTGGGCCAAGTGGGAATCCGAAAGGGCTGGGAGGCTTGTCAAGGATGTAAGAGGTACCAGAGCAACAGAGGAAAAGCTTTGAGAGAGTGAAAGTGATGGCCAGGAAGAGTGGAGTTTGTTGCATTTCAAAGGGAGCATCACATTCAAAGGGCACCGCTGGCCTGGCGGGGTTGGCCTCCTCCTTTGTCATTTAGAATAAGCCAGATTTCATAACCAGGGGACCACCTGGAGCAATAAAGACCATTATTGAACAAGGGAGTAAAAACTGTTTTAAATTCTTCCCGAATCCCTTCAGAGCAGAGGTCCTAGGAACCCTGCCCACTCCCCCCACCCAAAACTCTCCCAGAACCCCAGGTCAGAGTCTGAGATACAGAAGACACTCGACTTGTCAGACGGGGGAGAAAAAAAGAACAATATCTTGTAATTTTCCATCTTAACATCCTCTTCCCGATGTCCCCAGCCTAACCAGCCAGAAATCAGAAAACTGGATCCCGGCCCAGCCCTACCCCCCACAATTGCCTAGGATTTGCTCAGGGGCCGTCTGCCCCCCTGGGTGGGGGGGGGTTCCTGTTTGGGCCTCAGTTTCCCCTGCTGGAAAAAGTCTCTAGAATATCCTTGTCCACAGAGAGGGGGCAGAACTCCAGAAGGCTGGGGGTGGGTGGGGGTGAGGTGGTCATGGGAAGGGGGGACCCTAGAGGTTCAACTTCTGCCCACCCCTCAGGAGATGATGGCAAGTTTGGATGAGGCCACCGAATGTGGGGTGGGGGGTCCTCGGGGAGGGCCAGGGCTTCAGGGCTGGTGGGGGGGAGGGCGAGAGGCCTGCCCACAAGCCGCTCCTGCCCTTTTAAGGTCTCACTGTGAGTGAGGCAGCCCTCAACTCGGACGTCCGCCATCCGCCTTCCTTGGGACCGGAAACGCGCCGAGGGTGGGGGAAGGCAGGGGGGGGCGGTGTAGGGGAGGCGGGGCTGAGAGGGCAGTGGGAGAGCAGCGTCCCCATCCCCGAGGAGACTGCAATCGGCCCCCTCTCCAGACCAGGCCTCAAGGGATATTGCAGTTATGGGGGTGGGGGGTGGAGGGGAACTAGACAGGAAGTCTCGAGGGTGTCAGTGGGTGTCTCCTTGCGCCGAATTTTCCAACAATCCCTTTTTCCCAGCATAAGGACCAAATTCCTTTTTATGACCCTTCCAGGGGGAGTTCTCCAAGGGTCATAAAAAGGAATGCCACCCCACAGCAAAGGCAGGGGAGTAGGGGAAGTGGGAGGGCGCAGGCACCAGGGGGTTAACCCCCAGCTGTCCCCCGGGGCCGTCCCCCCAGCAGGCTGGGGGCTTTGGGGGCAGGAAGTCGAGGGGAGAGTGGAGGAAAGGAGATAGGATTGTCAGGCCAAAGCCCCAGGGGAGAGATTATGGGGTGGTTTTACCCGACCAGCCCAAGCCTATCACACTAGCCCTGCTCTCAGGTGAGCACAAGAGTTTTCAGGGCGGCCCCACGGAGATACACCCCTTAGGTGACTTGGGGCCCTCACCCCAGGATTAAGTCCCTGGGAGGATAACTGGGAATCACGGGAGCCTAGGCCCCGTGGGGAGTGGGCTATGACCTTGAAGGTTTCCAGCGCCCCCTCCTCCAACTCCACTGCTCCCAAGGGCCCGGGAAGGTGGAGTGGGGTGGGGAGGTGGGGACGGTTTGGGGTGGGGAGAGCAGCCGGTCCGCCGCGCTCCTCACTCACCCCCTACACACACCAGCTGTCTCGACAGGTGAGTCAGAAAGACAAAGGCCCCCCTTCTCCCAGCTGCCGCGCCCCTCCCTCCCCAGGGCTGCGCAGGTGGGGGAGAAGGGCCGCCCAGCTGGCTGCCCGCCGGGGCGCCGCCCTCCGCACGGAGCGCTCGCTCAATCCTAGGCTCGCTCGATCCCAGGCACGGCCTGTTTCGGGAAGACTGTGGGTGCAGAGAGGAGGGGGAGGGGAGTCCCAACCAGACCCTCGAGGTTGCCTCTGGGTCCGTCAGCCCGTCCTCACCCACCTCCCCTAAAGGATCTGAGCGTCCCCTCTAAAACACAGGGGAGTAAAAGTACCCCTTGAAGTTGGGGAGTGCAATTTCACTTGGGGAGACTTTTCCAGCGCCACGTTACTGGGGACCCTGCACCTCAGCCTCCCCTCCAGGGTCCCAGAGTCCCCAATCTGGCCCCCCACCATCCCTCCTGTACTCCAATGTTGAGGTTTGGGGTGGTGGTGGGGAAGTCCTGACTCCTGCTTAAATCCTGGCATCCTTGCGGAGAGAATCCACTAACTTAGAGGTCCCCTGGAAAAGTCTTTAAAAATTCGGGAGTCCTCGGAGCGCCCCCAAATCTGAAGACTCCCAGGAGAATCTAACTGGCAGCACCCCGAACTTGGGAGTCCCGCGGACGTGGCCAATATTTGGTGCCCCGCGGAGGCGATCCGGCCCCCAAACGAAGACTCGCCGCGACGGGTCCCCCAACCTCAGCCCCGGGCGAGCTGGGGGAGGGGGGACAAAGGCAGGGCGGGGAGCCCGCGCCCGCGCGGAGGGCCGGGCAGCAGTGTAGGCTCACCTCATGGCTGCTCCGGGGCGGACGGTGCGCCCACGGGGGAAGGGCTCCCGGGGCGCCCCTGGCTCGCGGTTCAGGGGTTCGGGACTGGCTCCAGGTTCGGCTCAGTCTTCCCTGGGGTCCCGCCCCATAGAGTCCGGCTTCCTTGGGGGGAACGTGGCTAGGGCCGGGGCGGGTCCTCGAACGCCTCCTCCCCTTGGGCTTTGATGGAGGGGGTCCCTGCGGCAGAAGGGGGGGTGCGGCGTCCCCTCCCCGGCGCGCCCCCTTGGCCGGCGACTGCTACAATGTTACTCTTACTACTGTACTTCTCTTCTCTACATTTCGTTCCAAAATTCCACTCCCCGCACCCATAATGCCCCGCGCCTTAAAGGAGCCGCGGCCTCCTCAAGACTGGGGGTGGAGGGCGCTTAAAAGGGCAACGCACCACCCTCGACTTCCGCTATGTCCCCTGTCAATCCCCCATGTGATTGCCTACGGGTGCACTTTGGATCACCCCCAAATTCCGAGAGCTTAGGAGAGGGGGAGGGGCTCATGATTCCTAGGTCTCCCCCAGGATGTATTCTTAGGGCGATTGAAAAAGGAGCACAATTTCTCCCTCATCACCCTTTCCAGCGACTTCTTCATTTCTTTCCTTGTTGCCCAATTACATGTGTGGTGGGGGTGGGGTGGGGGCTAGAACTCGGACCCTGTAGTTAAACCCAGAGTCCTTCACATATTCTCCCTGAAAGGCCACCTTCCTCCCCCCGCCAAAGTCCCTGTCTTCCCTGCCAAAGTATGAAAGGTGACTTGTAGGGGGAACCCCCTCCCCCGCACAGGAGGGGGATGGGTGGGTAGAGTCCCACCCTTCTCACCGCGCCCCGCCCCGGGAAGGTGAGGAGGAAGTGGGCGGAGGGGGCGCGGCCCGCCGCTGACTCACAGCCGCAGGGTAGGGATGTGGGGTGAGGAGGGGGTGGGGGCTGGGGAGGCCGGCGCGGGTAGGGGCAGCGGCGCTGGCCCGAGGTAGTGTTGGGGCGCCCGGCTCCAGCGAGGTCCCCTCCCTACGCAAGCCCCGTTGGGACTCAGGGCCGCCCGCGGAGGATGGAGGAACCATCCCGGCACTCTGGAGGGCTCGGAGGCAGTGGGGAAGGGGGTCCGGGGTTTGGGACTCCCAGCCAGGTGTCCACTCCAAAAAGCCCCAGGCTCCGAATACCGGCCGGAGGCTGAGCGCGGTCGCTTTCCCAGGCTTCTGCAGCGGTTCCCACAAGCCCCGCCCTGGTGACGTCACCGTGAGGCCACGCCCCCCGGAGAGCCACCTGGTCTCCGTGCAGTGCCCAGCCCAGGGGCAGGAACTCTGAGCCAGGGCATAAATGGGTAAAATGAGTCTGAGAGGCAAGATATGCATCTGGCTGACAGGCCTCTGGCCTGAGCCCCCCAGGTGTGAGTATAAAACCCAGATCGCTCAGGTCCCAGCCAACTAGAAGCCTCCCTTCATCTGGGGTGCACATCGCCCTTCTGGGCCCGACCCTCTGCCCTTCTGTGGGTGGATTCAGACTCAGCCACCCCAGAAGGGAGAGTAGAACTACCCCTTTGGGTTTCTCAGACGATAAATCTTTGCTGAAGCAGACAGTCTCGTCTTTCTCCCAGGGAGGGCCTGGGAGGTTTGAACCGCTGACCTTGAGGTTAGCAGCTCTGTACTTAACCGACTTCACACCTCGGGCCCTTTTCTGGGCCAAGCTGATGTGAATTCTCCGAAGACTTAAGTAACCCCCTCCCCTTTTCCACTGCTCTCTGGAAGGCCTTGGCCCCTGATCCACCAGGGTAGTAATTGTGTGTCTCCGTGGCTTCCGTAGGTGACGGTGCTTTGGGGGCAAGAGTGTATGCGGATGGATCAATTTCTGAGCTCCCCTACTCCCAGCCCTGCCAGACTAAGAAACCACACAGTCCACAAACATTTGCTCAATAGACCCTTACTTCCGGGAGACCTTGGTGAAGCCCTTTGGTCCTTTCTGTGAAATGAGAGGGTGGCATTTGTGGGGACCACCTATTCTGGAGCGGGGATCCGTAAACTTGCTATTGTAAAGGTCCTACTAGTCAGTAGTTCAGACTTTGTGGGTCACAGCGGGGCCCCTTTCACATCTATAATTTGTTTTACAGTCTTTTAAAAAAGTTCTGAGCTCGCTATACAAAACGGGAAGGGCCTGCGAGAAGACCCTCGCATATGCACACGAGCATCCTGTTCTGTGGTCTTTGGGATAGCAGAGATGTTGGGGCAAGAAATTGGAAATCACCCAGGAGTTCTTTAAAAAGAGGAGGGGAAAAAGCCTGGGTGGCGGCTGAGAAGCAGCAGATGGATAATTAACACGGAATAGATGGCTGTAATTCTGTTGAACGGCGGTGAGGGAGGGCAGGGGAGAGAAGACAGTTAGCCCATGATATGTATGGTATGCAAACGACCGAGGAAATACCAAACTGAAAACTCCCCGTCGCTGGAGTCACTTGTGACTCACCACGACCCTCTAGGACAGGATAGAACAGGCTCCTGTGGGTTTCCGAGGCTGTTTGGGATGGGTGGGAAATGATAAGCCTCATCTGTCTCCCAAGGAGCAGGCGGCAGTTTCAAACTACTGACTTTGCGGTTAGCAGCCCAACGTGTAACCCACTCTGCCACCAGGGCACCTGGGAAATACTGACATACGATAGATTTGCTACGCGAGCCTGTGTGCACGTGCGGAATACGGCGTCCCGGTGGCTCAGGGGTTAAGCGCTCCCACTAACTGAGAGACTGGTGATTTAAACCCACTGGCTAGTTCTTCAGGAGGAGGCTGGGGATTTGCTCCCCGCATGATTAAAAACCCACTGTTGTGAAGTGTAAACAAACAAAATCACCATTTCCTTTTGCCACACACATTCACCTCACACTCTAAAGGTCCCCTGTTGGGCATCAGAAGACCCTTAACAAACACACAAACAAACAAAACCATACGGTTGAGAATGAGGGAGATCAGAGCAGAGACACAAAGTCCCTCTGTAGACAATGAAACATCCCCCACAGATGGGTCATCGGGAAGAAATGAGTCAACCAGGGCGCAGTAAAGCACTGATGAAACACACAATATTCCTCTGGTTCCTTGAGGCTTCCTCGACCCCCACCACCCTGACCCCAGTGCTGCCTCTTACTGTGGACTGGACCGGAGCATGTACACAGGTAGAGATAAAGCTCACGACACACACAATCTAGGAGCAAGAATGGGAGTAGTGATACCAGATGGGTAGGGAGAAAAGGGTGGGGAGGAAGGGGGCACTGATCATGATGATCGACACACAACCACGCACACCCCCTTCAGGGGGAAGAACAACGGAAACTATGGGGGAAGGGAGACAGGGGTCCATGTGAGATATGAAAATAATAATCATTTATAATCTATCCAAGGGGCATGAGGGTGAGGGGGCCGGGGGAGGAAGAGGAGCTGACCCCCAGGGCTCAAGAGAAAGTAGTTGCGTAGAAAAGAATGATGGCAACAGATGCACAAATATGCCTGATACAATTGATGTATGGATTGTAATAAGCATCGTAAGGGCCCTGAAGAAAATGATCAAACAAAAAGGTCCCTGGTTCAAAACCGGGCAGGAGCCTTGGTGGCGGTGAGTGGTTTTGTGCTGGGCTGCTAACCGAACCGCAAAGTCAACAGAAAGACCAGGCTTTCTACTCCAGTAGAGAGTCACAGTCTTGGAGCCGCACATGAGCAGTTCTACCCTGTCCTATAGGGTGACCGTGAGTTGGCATCGCCTGGATGGCAGTGAGTTTGGTTTGGCTTGGTTCAGACTCACAAGGAGAGCCTAGGACAGAGACCTCCCTAGGGTTTTGGAGATGGCCCATCTTTAGAGGAACAGAGAGCCTCCCCTTTCTCCCTCGGAGTAGCTATTGGGATTGAACCTCCAACCTTGCAGTTCACAACCGAATGCTCATCCCACTGAGCCACCCAGGGCCCCTTCCTTAAAGATGACAACCTAGGAAACCCTACAGGGCAGTTCTACCCTCTCCCGTAGGGGGTGCCGGGACTTGAAAATCTACTCCACAGCACCTAACAACGGCATGCAAAGCCAAAGATCTGGGAAAATGCACCCTCAACTCCTGGCATTCTGTGAGATGGGGAGCGGGGAACATGAGGCCCTCGTTGGTCACAGACAGAGGTCTCAAGCCTCATCCTGCAAATCCCAACTTTGACCCTGCCACTAGGGCTTGGCATTGGCTGTTCCCTCCATCTGGGGCCAGTGTTCCTTGGAGTCTGCAGAACTGGTACCTTCTCTGCTCGAATGGCTTCACCCTACACAGAGGTCTTTCTCAACGAAGCTTCTTCCAGCTGTGAGTCTGGACTCCACACAGGGGGTTGAGTCACTGAATGGGGAAGGGTGAGAAATCTGGCAACCACTGGAGATCCCCTTGCAGAGGGGTCTCGGGGAGGAGACGAGCCAGTCAGGGTGCGATGTAACAATGATGAGAAATACAACTTTCCTCTAGTTCCTAAAAGTTTCCTCCCCGCTCCCACTACCATGACTCGAATTCGATCTTGCAAGTCTGGCTAGACCAGAGGAGGTACACTGGTACAAATAGGAACTGAAAATACAGGGAATCCAGGACGGATGAGCCCTATAGGACCAGTGGTGTGAGTGGCAAAACAGGGAGGGTAAAGGGAGAATGGGTAGGAAAGAGGGAACCGATTACATGGAACTGTGTGTGACCTCCTCCCTGGGGGACAGACAACCGAAAAGTGGATGAAGGGAGACGTCGGACAGGGCAAGATATGACAAAATACCCATTTATAAACTATCAAGGGCTCATGAGGGAGGGGGGAGCGGGGAGGGAGGGGAAAAATGAGGACCTAATGCCGGGGGTTTAAGTGGAGAGAAAATGTTTTGAGAAACGATGTACAAATGCGCTTTACACAATTGATGTGTGTATGGATTGGGATAACAGTTGTATGAGCCCCTAATAAAATGTTAAAAAAAAAAAAAAAGAAAGAAATCTGGCAACCGCACAAGATTTCTGAGTGAGAGAGCCCCCCCCCCCCAATGAATTCAAAATAAAACGTGCAACGAAAGCATCGGAGGCGGTTCTGCAACGTGCTGGCCCATGCTGCCAATTTCTTGAGCGAAAAGAAGCCTCCAGACAGAACATGGACTGGCCAGGGAGTAGGAGATGGGAAAGGGACGACGTTATACCCGGTTTTGTATCCATTCCACTTCTAACCCCGGTGAATTGTCGTTAACCATCCAGAAAGAGAGCATCCTTCTTAAAACCCACACGTACGTCCCCTTGGTCATTTTCTTCGCACACGGCTCCCCCACCCCACC